CATGTTAGTGTGTGACTTTGCCTTATAATAAAAATACGTTTATTGGAAATATCTGCCTCAGCCCCATTTCTGGGACTTCCTGGTCCTCTCGGTATACACCTAGGGAAGACGGTACCACAGGGCAAAGTAGCCTGCCCATCTCGCAACATTGGGCTAATCTCAGTGACACTCCAGTTATGGCAAACGATTTGACCTGCATACGTAGTTTGATTTACACACACATATGTCACTAATAGGAGGACAGCCAATGTGGGCTGCAACCTTCCAAAACTGTGACTCCCTTCCCCTTATATACACAATTCCCAGAATCTCAGAATAACTGAAAACTAGAAAAGTCCCTATAGACACCAATGTACCTTGTTTTACAGTAATTTGTTTGTGTGTTTGTATGAGATAGCCTGTCTTTCTCCTGAATAAGACCCAAGGTGGCTCACAACACAAATTAAAACAAGGTACAATTTTGACTCATTTTTTGCAGCGGGGAGAATGGGATTTGTGGTTCAGGTGGTGTGGACAGGGGGACATATTGCCTGGCCCCATATTAAGTATGGGTCTGGCTGAGGACTGATAGATAATGTGTCTCTGCTGAACCTCATGCTTCTTACAATGACAAAATTAAAAATGCCACTTCTTATAAGAACAAGAAAAGAGATTCCGCCTAAACATCAGGAAGAACTTCTTTACTATAAGAGTTGTTCCATAGTGGAATGAACTGTCTCTGAGGGTAATGGACTCTCCTTCTTTACAAGTTTTTAAACAAAGGTTTGGTGGTCATCTTTCAGGGATCTTTCAGTTGTACATTCCTGCATGGCAGGGGACTAGACTAGGATTCCATGATAGCTCAAGAAAAGACCCCCTGCCTCCATGTATCATGTCTCAAAGGTAAGGCACATATAGTACAGACCACAAAGTGCTGTGATGAGGGAGTAGGAGGAAGTGGGGAAAGGCTGTGGTGAGATCAGTGCTTAGTAGAGCCAAATAGCTCCAGCTGACACAAACAGGTGGATCAAATCAAATGCTTTCATGGATTGTGTCAACTAGCCTCGTTGGCAGCAGGCCTCCATTCCAAGAAATGGGGGGAAGACATTTACATCTGTCCAATACACCTCATGAAAATATAGTACATATTTTGTTTTTCTTCTAATCATAGCATTTGGGATTTCTTGGCCATGACTTCAGATTTGTCTTTTCCTCTCCAAGGGTATATTACACAGACACACAATGCCTTTATCAATTATTAAAACTACGGCTTTTCCTGGCTCCATGCACACTCCTTGAGCCTACCCACCCACCCTGCTGCTTTCCCTTAATGCTCCAGCCCTGGCAAGCTACACATCATATCCTGCTCCTGGATATTAAACACTGACATGCATTTGGGTCATTCTTTAATCCTGATCCAGTTTGCTGGAGCATTACAAATCACTGAGCTCTCGAGCTCTCTCTCTCAGGGTCTCTATGTGTGTGTGTGTGTGTGTGTGTGAGAGAGAGAGAGAGAGAGAGAGAGAGAGAGGATGTATTGATTTTTTGCCAATGAGACACAGGGACAGGCCAGCTGGCACACAGCAAGACCTCAGAAACAACACAGAAGTTGGTAGTCCCTGTGATGTGGGCACTTTGGAGACGAGGGCACAGACAAGCAGAAGATAGAGATAAGCACAGGAAACAGCACCTTACCTGGCAGAACTCTAATCTGGCACACAGGGAAGCTTAGCACATTACAATCAAAGCCTAGTTTGCACAAAGAATGAAGGGGGGGATACCATTGTCACTGAACTGTGCCCCCTAAACCTGCAGATAGCTGTAGTAGTGGTGACGGGTTTTCATGTTTAAATGCAACCTAATGTGTTTTTTTAAAAAAAAGAGAGCCATGATATGTTAAAAATATTAATTAATATGCCAGGGAGAAAGAAGTAGCTAAGAAGGGTCAGTCTTGGTTAGTACTTTAATGGGAGCCCACCAATGACTACCAGGTGCTGTTGGCTATATTTCAGAGGAAGAGACTGGTAAAAGCACCTCTGAGTATTCCTTGCCTAAGAAAACCCTATGAAAAATTCATGGGATCTCTATATCAACAGGTTACTTGAAGGCATATGCACATATGCAGAGGGAAAAGGCTATGTTAAACCCTTCACACAAGGTGGGTAATATAGTGACATTCATTTCACATCTGAAATTACAGTCCTTGGTTGGATTGTTCCACATTACCTGCTGTTTGTATAGATCAGGCCAGAGCCAGGGGAGCGGAATGGAAAAATAAGTGAACTATATTCCTTCCTATTATTCTTCTGCCATAATGAACAAAGTTGAACTGCCCAAGCTCTGATGTATAAATGATTGGACCATCTCACTTCCCCACATGTTCTCTTTGGACATGGTTGGGCAATCTCTAGCTCTTCAGAAATTGGGATTCTGGATCCAATGCTCCAGCCACCATAGCTGATGGTCAGGGATGACCAGAGCTATGTCTAACAGTAATATCTGATGGAAAGGGAATGTGTAGTACAAGAATGGGCATCTGCAAGGGAATGGTGGGGCACACTAGACCCTTGACGGGTGTAAGAGGGCTGTAGCCCAACTGTGCCTCCCTCAAAATAAAAAAATCTACAATTTTGCAACTTAACTATTACAACAAGGTTGTATTTTGGGAGTCTCTTGCACTGTTTTAGGCCCAGGAGAAGCCTTTATTTATACAGGAAGACCTGGAAACTGACTTAAGGTTTACTTTCTGGTTAAATAAAGACCTCTTGTAAGCCTAGCACTCTACGCCATCCAATTAGTTTCAGGACTCAGTGGGGACTATGACATGGATCTCCGAAGTCCCAACTTTGCAACCCCTACCTACACCATATCATCTGAATCCCACTTTTAAAATATTGTGCAGCCCAACTACTGTGTGTATTTGCTCAGACATAATAAGTAATAATAAGAATAAGAAGAAACAATAAGTATAGTGGAACATGCAGTACAATCAAGAACACTATTGATAAATTCCCCTACAGAAGCTGTTGTATGGCTCTGTTTGATGCAGAACAGCCAGATTCATTTCAAGGTTGTACAAAAGGAGCTGTTCATACAGTACCATTGAGCATGATTGTGCCTGCACATTGCCCAAGGATACAATGGCCCTTCTCTTTCTCTCACCACCCTGTCAGGCTCATCTTGTGGGAACAAGGGAGAAGGCCTTCTTGGTGGCTACTCTCAGTTTTTGGAATTATTATCATTATCATTTTCATTATTATTATTGTATTATGCATTCTGCATGGGTGTACATACACATATGGTTGTACACTTGGTGTCATGTTTCATTTGCACAATGCAGCCATTCAATGTAAGTGTGGCATTGTAGAATTAGTGCATAACACCATGTGCAGATATTTACCCTCTGCATCCCGTCTGTAGTCTTCTAAGAGTGCCTGATGTCAGGCAAAGAATTGTTAAATGTCCTCCCACTTTTTAACCACTACCACATTGCTTTTATGCTGCTCCATATTTGCTTAATTCTTCTTTATTTTTGGTGATTTCTGTTATACTGCTCTTTTCTACTGTGGCACTTTGATCTGCTTTCTTGAAAATTTAATTAGTTTTATTGACATTTCAACTTTTCAAAAGCTATCAGTGAATGGAGGAATGGAAATCTCTTTAGAAAACAGTGCAATCAGATTCTGTGAAACAAATAGAAATGGAAATCATACCTCTGTTTGGACCATGGACATCCTATAAGACCGCATGTCAGACACCAGTCCCAGTATATCTACAAACTCGTGATCACGAATGTGCTGTAAAAGGCGATCCAGTGCTATAAAAGTCCCTGTCCGTCCCACGCCAGCACTGTAAAATACATACTGCATTAACTATGATGGTTTGGGGCTTTTAGTGGAGAGATAATGTGCTTTATTTTAATACACTGCCATTCTG